GGCAACGTTTCTCCAAAGATCTTCTATGTTTGAGAAGATCAATCACTCGATCAATCACTGCAAACATCCATCCATTTTCCTCCGCTTATCCGGGACCGGGTCACTGGGGCAGCAGTCTAAGCAAAGATGCCCAGACTTCCCTCTCTCCAGACACTTCCTCCAGCTCCTCCGGGGGAATGCTGAGGCGTTCCCAGGCCAGCCGAGAGACATAGTCCCTCCAGCGTGTTCACTGCAAACAAATCAAATTAAATCTTTGTTATGAGTAGAACTTTGTGGCTTTTCTTCTGGGGAGATGTGGTTGTTGTTGCTGAATTAAATGAATTTTTGCATCTTTTGGGTGTCTTAAATACCTATGAATGGATTTTACAACCTAAAAAAAAGTTAAATAAAGAAAAACAACGACCAAAGCTTTAGTCCTGAAAACACAGTGGTCCAGTGGGGAGAAAGACCAATCAAACCATTTAGCAGATGCTTCCCTCAGAAGTTTCCATTGACCAAAAAATACATGACTTTGTGCAGTACATTAAAGTGAAAACAGTTAAGAGCATGTCAGCATGCACAAGATTATAATTTATTTGACTTCATGATAAGTCAACAAGAATGGAGATTGTGCCTATAAAGCAAAGTCCGTCGTTTGAACAACTGGAGACCTAAACATAATTCAGTAAACACTGGGCATCTCCATCTGCTGAACAACATCATGCCATACTATAGAAAACTCCAGAGCAAGTACTGATTGGTCTTTGTGGTGCTCTTTTGAAAACTAGGCTATATACGTATAAAATAATTTTAAACAGAAATGATGATCGACCAAGATATTTTTTCTTCAATATTATTATCAAAAACCATAATGGCATAAATAATATTTTTAAAAGACAGGCCTGCCTGAAGTCTCGCTGACTATTTTAAATCACAGCTTCCAGAAATAGCGACAGAGTGAGAGGTCTTTAGTCTTCTCTCTCTCTCTGACTTGTCAAAGCGCACTAAAATAAGATTAGTCCCCCTGCGTGTCACTCAAACCCAGAACCACTCTGTGATTGGCTGTTATTGCGCGAGTGCCCGCCCCTGTTGGCCTTCGGCATCGTTGAAATGACACCGTGGGAAAGCTGAACGCTTCAAACGGAGTTGCTCCGGGCAAACCTGAGCAGACGCACGTCAGGCAGACACGACAGACACACCAAAGAACGGTTGTGGACGATAAAAATGAAAAGGAATCACGATTTTAGCTCCTCGGACAGCGAGCTGGACGAGACTGTTGAGGTGGAGAAGGAGAGCGCAGATGAGAATGGGTAAGTTACTTGGCCATAATTGTGTTTTTCTTTTATTTCTCTTCTGTGATTCAAATTAGTGGACGAAGTGGACAAGTATGCAAAACTAGCTTTAGGCTGCTATTTTACTTTGTAAACGATTTAAAATTAAGACTCGGGATTGCACAGACTGACCTCCCTGTCGTGTCTCTTTGAAGGAACATGAGCTCTCCTCTCGGCTCCATGTCTCCTACAACATCAACTCAGGTGCAGGCGAGGAAAAGGCGTCGAGGAGTATGTACATTTATAATTCCCTTTGTCCAGCTTCAGATTTTATGCGCGACTTGTCATATGGACATATTCTCCAACTCACCACATAGTTGTGTACTCTGTCTTTTCTCAGATAATTGAGAAACGTCGTCGTGACAGGATCAACAACAGTCTGAGCGAGCTCCGCAGGCTGGTTCCCAGCGCCTATGAGAAACAGGTAAGCAACAAGTGGCAATGCAACTTTAATGAGTTAATCCTCTAAGAGCATGAAAGAGCTTTGTTTATGCAGCTCTTTGTGGATTGTGTGTCTAAGTGGCTCTCTTTTGTGTCCCCGAAACTGAAGGGCTCAGCTAAACTGGAGAAAGCAGAGATTTTGCAGATGACTGTGGATCATCTGAAGATGCTTCACGCAGCTGGAGGCAAAGGTATTTCACTGATTCCTTTCACCTGTTGCATAACTATGTGCTTAAGAGGGGAAAGACTGGACATACACAACCAAGTTTGTTTCTTGTCTAAAAAAGGAGTATATGCATGGAAATGAATAAATTAAAGAACTTAAACAAAATTAAACTGGTTTGACAGGCTGGTAACAACTGATCATTTATTCTCAGCCCCAAAGCCAAGGGCATACTGATTCATGTCAAACAGAGCTACAGTTCTAGACGAACTTGTTTTAGAGAGAGCAGTTCAGGTGACTTTTTTTTAAGCTAATCTGCTGTCTTCTTGCTTTTGCCTCAGGTTACTTTGACGCCCACGCCCTTGCGATGGACTACCGAGGTCTGGGTTTCAGGGAGTGCCTGGCTGAGACGGCCCGCTACTTGAGCATAGTTGAAGGCCTGGACAGCACAGACCCTCTGCGGGTCCGTCTGGTCTCTCACCTGAACAACTACGCCAGTCAGAGAGAGGCTCACTCTGGCCTGAGTCACCTGGCATGGGGCTCTGCGTTTGGATCCCCTCCTGCCCACCTGACCCACCCACTCCTCCTCCAGCACCAACAGGGGGCACCTTTATCCCGCAGCACCACCAGCAGCCCACAAACACCTCTACCATCTACAACCACTTCATCTGCATCTTCCTCCTCTTCATCGTCACCGTCCTCATCCGTTGCAGAGACTCATGTCCCAGGCAGGCGTAGCAGCAGCGCCACCCCACACTCAGATCAAGGCCCGATCCGGGTCCCTCCCACCACTGCTGCTCCTACCACTGTCCTGCACCCTGCTTTGGTCCCCTCATCAACATCCAAG